AAAGCAAATTGTTTGAAAATTGTTGTCCAGTGTTTGTTCTAAAAATGTATTGGGCATTCTGGTCTAGATTTTTGGAAATTCAACCCAGCCTATTCAGAGGGACCTAGAGCATTCTTGGATGAAGATCTTGGCGTGCTTGATTCTTGACTAGTTAAATGTACATGGGATTTATGTTATTCTTCCAACATGGTTCTCTGAAAAATTAGAATAATGGCTCCAATTAACATTGCAACTTCTGCATGAAAGCCACAGTGAGCCAGACATGAGTTTTGGAGCAGGGTGGTGTTGCAATGGAGATTAGAGTGGGATGCAGAATCCTGGCTGTTGAAATTTTCTCTGGATCTTTGAAATAGCCCATGTGATTCCATACAGCTGCTCCTTGCAAGTAAACCACAGAAATCATTATACTTAAGTTATGTACTTGGTGGAATGAAGAGGAAAGCGACTTTTTTCTTTTTTTCCACATTTTTTATATTTTTGTAATTTATATAACCTTTATTCTTTTTATTGTAGTCTTTAATAACTTTTTTGAAAACATAATACCAAGAACTTCTATTCATCAAAGTTAATAGATGTGGACTTGTACAAAATCCTGAAGAGGTTTACTCCCACAAAACTATTTAGAATACAGTGATGAGATCCTCTGTTCTGGAGCTGTCTTATTTGTTCATTATACTGAATGCAATATCCATTTATGCTTTACAATTAGAAACCAAACTAAATTTTAGCTACTTGCTGTTTACACTTCATTTTTTATCATTATTCAGTCATAATAAGATTTAATCATATCAATAACCCTAATTCCTTGAGTTACTTCCTAATGAACATGATTAGAAAAATGATGTTAAGCAAAATGATTTCACAACCTAACATTTTGTTGCAAATTGAAGATGAAAATTGGCTTTCTTAATGGGCCTGGCACTGCATTGTTTCAAGAGTAAGTGTATATTATCAAGTAATATAGACTTGATATAAACTTTTACAAGTAAAAGTTTTCTATGAAATCGTACTGTAAAATTCATTTTTGGAGACTGTAAGTGTAAGGTCCTGCCTCTCCTCCCCGTTCAAGGAAGTACGAACTCTTGAAATAGCAGAATTTCAAAAGGAAGCTTTTATTGAAAGGAAGTGATTGCAAGACAAAAGCAAAGCAGGCACTAAGCTCCCCTTAGGCAATTCCATTAGGATGAAGGAGTTAGAAACCCCTCCCCTCGGTCCAGTGTTGAATGAGCCAATCCAAAGGTGCGAAGATATTGTGAAAATGGTCGTCCTGGGAAGGAGATAAGGAACTATTCCCAGGCACTTCTTTCAGGACACTTCAGAACTCAGACTAAATAGATGGCCCCCCCCCCCCCCCTTACACATTCCCCAGAGGTAAATCAAAGCACAGGGCAGATAGGTGTCAGAGTAGGGGTTATAAACTAAGGGATTACAGGATATGTAGGAAACAGAAAGAGTGTAACAAGTGAATAAATGATCCAGGCCCCCTTCCCCACAGAAATGGCAGTATCAGGATAGTCATATGATAGTCTATTTCTTTACCACTTGAAAACTTCTGCTATTACAGGTAGCCCTCGACTTACGACTACAATTGGGGCCAGAATATGCACAATAGTTAACTAACCAGGCTATGATTATCTTTCCTGTGATCTAAGGTTATTTTTGTTCTGTTTTTCTTAATAGTCAAAACCTATTATGTGATGTGACAATAGTAGCTGAAGACATGGAAATTGCAGCTCATCGAGTTGTATTAGCAGCTTGCAGTCCATATTTTCTTGCAATGTTTACAGGTACCTGTTTTTCTTATTTCTTGCAGCTGAACTATCAGTCAATTTTGAAAGGCATAAGCATAGTGGCTATCTCCTCAGGATGCTATTGTGCTGTATGTAAATATGCACAGTGTATGTAAAACACTCTAATAAGTAAACTTTGTTCTTGAAGCTGATTCGTAGAAATAAATGCTGCACTTTGGAAGGTATATTCTTGCTAGTACTGTTATCCTTGGTGTTACCATTAGTTGGTAAACTGTATTCTGTAAACTACTGAACTAAAAAGCTGTAGTATACACACACATACACACACACACACACACACAAGCTGATAACCCGGCATTGCCTAGGTATTTCTTTATCCCATTCCTGAAATTGCTTGAGGCATTCCAAAGTTATGCTGGAACACACACACACACACACACACACACACACACACACACACACACCCCTACACACAAACACCTAAGGGTGCTAGGGGTATCTTACCCTCACAGTATTTGTTTCCAGATAGTAAGTCATCTGTGTGCCATGTTTGGTCGGCATTCCAGAGTTATGCTGGAACATACATACACACACACACACACACACACACACCAGGGAGCCATTGAGAGAGGCATTTCTTCCCCCTACTCACATGCCCATCATCCCTGCCCTCTCCCTTCCCCCTTCCAGGCACTCCTCTTTCCTGCCCTGTCTACGATCCTGGCACTTTGCCCAAATCCACCAGAGGGCACCTTCTGCCAAGAGAACGGAACATCAGGCACTTCTCCATTGGTCCACTGGAAGGCAAAGGTCACGGCTGGCTTTCCAGAGGAAGCTGCAAAAGAACTGACATCACAAACAATTGCTGCTGTAGGATGCTGCACTTGCTCTCCTTAATGGCCAGGCATTCCAGAGTTATGCTGGAACATACACACACACACTCACACATACCAGGGAGTCATCGAGAGGAGCCTTTCTTCTCCCTACATCCATGCCCATCATCCCTGCCCTCTCCCTTCCCCCTCCCATGTGCTCCTCTTTTCCGCCCTGTGTACGATCCTGGCGCTTTGCCCCAAATCCACCAGGGGGCGCCTTCTTCCAAGAGAATGGAACATCAGGCGCTTCCCTGGGTGAACGTCATGGCTGGCTTTCCAGAGGAAGCTGCAAAGGAACTGACACACAAACAATTGCCGCTGTAGGACACCGCACTCACTCTCCTTAATGTCCCAGGCATTCCATAGATGCTGGAACACACACACACACACACCAGGGGTATCTTAGACACACACACACACCCCAGTATTTGTTTCCAGAGGGTAAGTCATCTATGTACCACGTTTGCTTGAAATTGCTCGAGGCATTCCAGAGTTATGCTGGAACATACATATATGCATGCATCATACATGCATACATGCATACATACATAGAGCCCTTTTTATATATATATAGAAGATTATACACACACACACACACACACACACACACTGTGTTTCTTCAAAAGTAAAACCTGGTCTTATTTTCTTTTGACCCTTCGCCCTTTCCCCCACCCCCCCACTTCGCCTCCTCACCTCATGTTGTCCTCACTGCAAATGATGTGAGAAAGGGCCAAATTTGGGGGGTAGGGCTTAATTTTAACTCATGCTCACAAAACAGTGCTGGGCCTTCTTTTTGGGGTGGGTCATGTTTTAGGAGAAACACGGTGTGTGTGTATGTGTGTGTGTGTTTGTGTATGTACCTCTTAGTTAACAAATATAATATTCTTCATCCCATTACATCTTTTAATATTATATCCAGTCTGATTATCAGCAAATCTTTCCGTACTAAAATATTAAATATATAAAATGCAACAAGCATATCCTGACTCTTAACTGTAACAAAATCCCATTTCAAAAGCATAAAATAGTCCTTTTATGCTAATATAAACATAATAAAACAAAACCAAAGTTTAACATTACAAACATAGACCATTTCTCTATTACAAAAGACAAGCTCCAATACAGAACATGTTCCCATACCAAACACCAACAATTCCTGTGCCAAATAATAACAAAAGCCTGTGCCAAATAACAATTTATACCATTCACAAAAACAATTTCAAAACTACAAAAAATTTACATGTCAAAAATGTAAAGTAATCTCCGTATTCTAATATAAAAATCTAAAATTCAGCATAACAGAAAAATAGTTTCTCCTTCAAAGAGAAAAATATACCAAACTTTCTTATTTTGAATAAAAAGTTATTTGTCTAAAACTAAAATACATAAACATACACAAAAATATTGTTTATGTATTAACATAAAGTTTTCTACACATGTATATATGTTTAACACTGTAATAAGTGTAAGCAAACCCAGGATAGCACATTTTTCAATTAAGATACCAGTAATTGGAAAAAGAGCCACATAAAATGACAACATATTCCATTTTATCCCTGGTCAAATAAACTGACTTTGGAGTCCTTATTGCATTCAGATAGTTATTATTTCTTATTGCAAATTTCTTCAGTACTTTAATCAATCTCTCTCGTGGAATCCAACAAAATGAAATTATTCCAATTGCTCTCTGGAATTATTATTTTTATCTTTTTCTTTAAAAGTTAAGACTTTCCCATACAGTTGTTTTGCTTTATATCTTATGACACATTCTTATTCAGAGTTTCCTTCATATTTTTCTTGGATAGATTTTCTTGTTCTGTAACATTTTCTTCTGGTAACATTGTTTCTGAGAAGACAAAACATAGCTGATATAATTGAATCAGATTGTTGATGCGGATCTCATCCCTCAAAGATGTCTCCAAATACCATAATAAGTTTCTCTTGTTATGTCTTAAATCTGAAAAGCATTTTTCCCCACAAACATGCATTCTTTAAAAATAATTTTGAAGCCTTAATATTCAAAATCCAATGTTTCAACATTTTATGAGCCCTTATTTCTATCTTGTTTTGTGTTTTGCTCTTTGTTTGGATTATAAAAATAGATCTTCATATTCTTATATTAAGGTTTGAAGGCATTCACTCATATTTCCAGCCTTGTCATTCTTAACTTCTTTGAAGCTTTTAATAGACAATTTTCAGAGGTAATTAGTAAAGGAAGTGAACAAACTTTTTTTCCTTTTGAAAAAAGCTGTTTGCAGCTGGAGTAATTATGGCAAATTCCCCAGTTTCCCAATTATCCCTTTTCCAGAAACTACCATCTTATAGTTTTTTCATGAGGGGCAACCATAAGGAAAAACAGCTTGGATGATCTCACCTCTCTTTTTATCTACAAATGTTAAAATGTCCACAAACATTGGCTCCACTTTTCCACAGAACTGCCTTCACAGAACTATCTTCTCCCAGAAGGTCCAAAAAGTATTTTTCATTCATCTTGTGAGTAATAGCATCTCCTGAACCAAATGCCTCTTTTTAAAAAACAAGTCTTCTGTTTCAAACGGTAATTAATTCTGGCTGCTGCATTTCCTAAAAGGTATTTAGATAAAAATGTAAAATGTTAGATTCTCGTTAAGGATAGGTAATTTCTGCTCTTCTGAGATGTGTATAAATAAAAATAACTAAGTGTAATGACAGGTGGTCAGAGTAGCCGATTAACTCTCTGCTTCACTTTGAACCCTCATATAACAGCTTTAAAAGCAAATGAATATATTATTTAAAACAGTAGTGAAAGAGAAGGATAAAATTGCATCAGTACCACAGCAGTTTTATGTTCTCTCTGTTCCACCTTTCATTGTGATTTGACAACAGGTCCTGATGTCATAGTAGTCTTGCAGGCAAAGTGTTGGCAGCTGTCACATAAGGAGAGAGATGGAAATTAATGTTCTGCTCAGAAAAAAAGTGAAATGTCAGATCTGGTTAGTTTGGGAATCAGCCAACTTCTGATGTTATAAAGCTAGAGAAGGATTTAGTATTGCTTGAAGTTCAAGCTGCTTTTTAAAACATTAGATATTGCAGGCATTTTCCATTGTTAACCAATAGATTTTGGATATATATCAGGTCCCTAGAGCTGAGATTTGCTTTAAATTCTCTTTTCTAAACATTCATTCTGGCACTACAGATAGTCCTATTCTAATCTCCACAAATTGAAAAGGTGTCTTTTTATATTGCGAAGAGATGATATTGTTTTATATTACAATAAATCAAAATGCTGTTAATATTAATCCTCTCGATTAATGCTTACAATTAATTTTGATCTTTTTTTAAAAAAAAAAAACTTTATATATAAAATGAATTGACCAAATTAGTGTACATTCCACTATTTATTAAACTCTGCTTTTTCCATATACTGTATGGAATCACATATATCACAACTGGCAGCTACTGGCAGCCAGACTACTCTAGATTTTCCTGGCTTTCAAAACACATGGCAACAATGCTGGTCTATATGCCATATGATTGATTGATAAATGCATAAATAAAAATCATAATATAAAATATATATGTAAGTCCAACTCGGTGCTTAAACTTCCAAGCAATCAAGTTATGAACAACAGTGAAACATATATGAACTCAGCCTTTCAAAATATTTATGTAATTTGAACAGGAGGTAAATTAAGTTTGATTACTGCTTTTTAATTCCAGATTTATTTGGTATTTCAATTTCAAGATTGTTTATCCTTGTAGAATAATGCTTGAGAATCAGCTTATTTCTCTTCCTCAATAAAATAAAGACCTTTTTTGGTCCCTGGCATTTTTTAATTATGGTTGTACAAAATTAGAAATTATGAAAGATGTCAAAAATTCTGAAAGGCATTCAGTACCTCGTGGCTGGTACTTTGGTACCCATGGATATTATTTCCTCTTTTATTACTGTAGGATTACTTTTTTTTTTGCTCCCTAATAAGATCTCTTTGCAGCATGTTTATTCTACTTGCCAGTGTTTGAATTAAATCTCTTTTGCAGGTGAAATGAGTGAAAGTCAAGCAAAGAAAGTTCGAATCAAAGAAGTTGATGGTTGGACCCTTAAGATGCTCATTGAATACATTTACACTGGGGAAATTACAGTTACAGAAGAAAACGTACAGGTGAGTGAGATGATTATATTTATTGATCATAAAACGTGTGATCATAAAACACATATCCTCTCTCTGGTTCTGGTGAGGATAATATTTATTTCTTACATATGAATGAAAAATGAGCACTTTTTAGCAATATTTCTGTTGTCTTCTTGCCCTATTATAACATAAAATAATCAATGAGCATCTTGCTTGTACTTGCATTTAAAAAGACCTGCTGAGTTTTAAAGTCCTTGACAAAGTACACTGAATTATATCAAGCAAATGTAACAGAAAAGGTTAGGGTTAGAAACCCTGGGAAAGCTAAACAAATCCATTGTTTGAAGAATACATATTAATCCAGAGGTGGGCTGCTGGGGGTTCACAGGGGTTTGGGAGAACCTCTACCTAAGATTCTGTGCAGTTCGGAGAACCTCCAAATTCCACACCTGACTGGCCTCACCACTCCCAGGAGTCCCCACGCAACCCGTTTTGGATGCAGGTAAGTGCAGGGCGCATGCAGAGGCTCGGGGAGGAAAAATGGGCCTACCGGAAGTTCAGGAAGGGCCTCCAGAGCCTGGGGAAGCTGTTTTCACCTTCCCGGAGACTCAAGGAAAGTCTCTGGAGCCCGGGGAGGGCAGAAAGCCCCCCCCCACTCTGGTGCAGGCGGCTGACTAGGCCACATCCACCAAGGCCACATCAACCAAGCAACCAGGCAGAGAACCCCTTGCTAAAATTTTTGAAGCCCACCCCTGTATTAATCTATTTTCATTTAAGACTATACTTATATCTACAATAACAGAATTTCCTAATGCAAAAGTGGACACATTTTATATCATAGTAAATAAATGAACAGTACATTTATGTGCATACTTCGTGAAACCATTGTACATAAGCTCTCAGTGTAGATACAAACAACAAAGTGATATAAGATATCAATAGGAAAAGGTAATAGGAAAGATGAGAAGGATAATAGTAATACAACCCTATCACATGGGTAAATAAATTTAGGCATAAAACAGTGCTGTGGAAGTTAGAAATTTAGCAGAGTGATGGCATGGGGGGAAAACTGTCTTTGTGTCTAGTAGTTTTGGCATGCAAGGTCCTATAGTGGCATCCTGAGGGGAGAAGTTGAAACAGTTTATGTTCAGAATGTGAGGGGTCCATATCAGTGGTGGGTTGCTACCAGTTTGCACTGGATTGGGTGTGTCACTGCGTTTTTGTATTTGTCAGCTGGGCTTCCATTCTGAGATTTACGGTAGACTGATTTGACTCTTATCTCAGAAGCCACCACGCATGTCCACATTCTTTCTTCCACATTCCTTCACTTTCTTCTAACTTGCTTTGTTCGCCTGCCAAGAGGCAAGGCAGGAACGCTGCCAAGATATAATTAATTAGCTAGTAAAACCGTTTTTACTTCTTTATAATAAAATGTGTTTATTAGAATATATCTCGGGTTTATTTTCTTAAAGTATACTTCAAGGAAAGGTCACGATCCATTCTCTAATCAAGGTGCAATTACCCAAAAGCAGAATGGGATTAATTGCCACCCTGACAGGGCGAACCGGTAGCGGCAGGGACGGGAGACTCTGCCCACCTGTCCGGATGCTTCTGTGCATGCACAGAAGCACCGTGCGCGTGCACAAGCGCACATGCAAGCACAAGTGAACAGGTAGCGATGGGATTTGGAACCCACCCCTGGTCCATAGATATTTCCTTAGCCCTCTTTCTGACTCATGTAGTATACAGATCCTCAATGGAAGTCAGGCTGGTTGCAATTGTTTTTTCTGCAGTCCTAACTATATCCATTGAAGTCTGTACCTGTCTTGTTTAGTTGCTGTACCAAACCAGTTACAGAAGCGCAAATGACATACTCAATAATTCCTCTGTAGAGCTGTATCAGCAGCTCCTTGGGCAGCCTGAGCTTTCTGAGTTGGACTCAAGAAGAATATTCTTGTATTTGCAGACTGATCCGCAAAAAAATAAGATAAAAGAGAAAATTGAGCTAATAAAACATAAACTAAACCTAATAGTACAAGATGAAATGACACGAAAAATTAAAATGGTGAAACAAAACTTTTTTGAAAATGCAAATAAGCCAGGTAGATGGCTAGTATACAAGTTGAAAAAAGAGAAAGAGGAGAAAGTGATATACAAACTTGATAGATGAGAAGGGGACTCTTCACCACCAGAATGAAGATAAAAAGAAAATAATCCAGGAATTCTTTAGGAATTATTATTATTATTATTATTTATTTGATTTATATGCCGCCCTTCTCCGGAGACTTAGGGCGGCTTACAATGTGCTCAGCAATAGCCTTCATCCTTTTGTATATTTATACAAAGTCAGCTTATTGCCCCCACAACTGGGTCCTCAATTTACCTACCTTAGAAAGGATGGAAGGCTGAGTCAACCTTGAGCCTGGCGAGATTCGAACCTGCAGTAATTGCAGTAATCTTTACAGTCAAGAAAAAAAGTCAGAAGAGACAATAAAAACAATATTTGGAAAAAGCAGGTCTACCTAAAATACAGTGAGAGTAATACTAAACAAAAGAATAACGACAATGGAACTAACAGAAGCAATTAAAAGGCAAAAAAACAATAAAACACCTGGACCAGACGGGCTTCCAGCAGAACTCTATAAAAATTTACAAGAGGCACTAGGGTTGCCAATGCTGGAGATCTATAATGAAGTGCTGTTAAAGGCAAAACTCCCTAAAATGTGGACAGAAGCATACATTACGTTAATACCAAAGGAAGATTCAGATCCTCAACAAATAAAAAACTACAGACCAAATATCCTTATTAAATGTAGACTATAAAATATTTGCATCTATAATTTCAGAAAGATTAAAAAGATTTCTAAACAAATTTATACACCCATATCAGAATGGTTTCCTACCTAAAAGATAATTGAAAAATAACATGAGGATTATTGTGAACGCTTTGGAATATTATGAAGCTCATTCTGATCTTCTTGGATGCACAAAAAGCCTTTGATAATATGAACTAGCAACTCATGACACTACAACTACAAACCACACACACACACACACACACACACACACACACACACACACACCGGAGTTTTTTGTGGTACTTTTATTCCTGGGGCTTGACTTTCTTCAGGATTGTTAAAGGGTTGTTTTAAGCTTTTTGGAGTATACTTCCAACACAGCTGGAACAGCTATTTACAGAAGGGTTGGCCTAGCCATAGAAGAAATGGCTGAGGGGCAGGATGCAAGTTTGGCTTTCTGTCTGATTTTTTTTACTGCTTTCTGGGGGCATGTGATCTTTTCTTAAATCTGGATCATTACCTAAGGATATCTTGTGAGGTGAGTGAGACCAGCTGATATCTTTAAGTGGTGCAAATGGATCTAATGATTGCTTCTCTTGGGTGAGAAACTGTGCTTTGTCGGTTCACTGAGCACAGGAGTCTCTTGTCTATGGGGATTCTTCAATCAATCCAGTTCATGGTTGACCCAAAGATGCTTTTTTCAAGAGGCAACTGGACTTTCTTGGTTTCCGGAAAGTTCAGTTGCCTCTTGAAAAAGCACCCTTGGGACAGGAGTCTCTTGCATTGCTTTGGAGTGGGCAAGACACCTGATTGTTCATTGATGATAAGTGGATCCTCCTTCCAATTTGTTTTCGTTTTCTCTCATGATAATATGGCATAGTAACATGGCACCAATTGTAGAAAGTTAGCACCCACCCCTCTCCTAGAAGAATGAAATATTTTGAGAAATATTAAAAAGGAAGAATATATTTCCCTGAATGAGAAATGGAGAAACAT